CACACACACACAATCCACGCCAAGCAAATTCACTATCAAGGGACAGAATTATAAATGTCAAACGGTTTCATCTTGCTCCCGGTCTCTCCCTCTCTGTCTTTCTCAATCTCTCTATCTCTTTCAAGCTGCAGCCCTCAAAATTAGGCCTCAACAAACTGTATATGAACAGCGTTTCTCACTACACCTCTACGTTTAATGCTTTGATAGTGATCCATTTTGGAACTTGTATATATCCCAATTCCACATACTACGACTGAAGCTCACTGCTATGTGCCAAGGAATACTACCTTGTTCTGGTTCTGGTCACATGAAATCTATAATCTATATTGCAATGCTTTGTTTTCAAAGAAGCTGACACATTTTTGGATTAAGTAAATCTGAAAAATGTATCATTTACTCACCTTCAGTTTCATTCCAAGCCTGTATGACTTTCTTTCTTTGGTGGAACGCAAAAGACGTTCTTCAAAATATCTTTGTCTTCCACAGAAGAAAAAAAATGTCATACAGGTTTGAAATGACATAAGCATGAGTAAAACATAAATTTCATCCCTTCAATATCTCACTTACAAATAGGAACTGAACAAAGCGCTTGCGCTATTGAACATGTCAAGTGTGGTTTTAAACGGGTGTTTTCTTAGGTTAGAAATACACAGATACACATCTTCAAATGCAGCGACATGGGAATTCAGCACAAGACAACTGATTTCACAAGTACATCCTACATAATTTGAAAATCCAAAAATGTTATTGCACATCTTACAATAAGAGGCACCGCTGCATTTCTCTCCAGCATGACTGAAGATTAGTTCTATGGGAAAGAATGGATCTAGCAAATTGTTCGAGGGCTGGGTCCTTCTACAATTGATTCACTTTCCTTAGAGCCACAGTGGCTCTGAAACTCGGCTGGTAATCTGGCCTGATTCAATTCAATGGCAGCTGCACATCAGTCAAAAAGCAATTACAGGGAATATGATGATGACTGCCCTCTGTCCTTCATTCTTACTAACAAAAACAACAGCAATTCTGCTGCCCCGAATGAATAGTGATGGTGATTTGATTGTTGTAGTGGCTTTAAAAAGACGTGTCTATATTTTCGGATGAGTGGTTATTGAAACGGATTTCAAGCCAAACTTTTTTACCTAGCAAGACTGGCTTCATATTTTGCAGGAAAATGCTGACTGACAGTTAAAACAAAAAAGTTCACCTGAATCAAATTCAACTGGAGGAAAAATAGCCAAGGAGAGGAAAGGTTTGGTCAGGCCTCCCGATAGAAGATCTCCTGAGTCCAGTCTGAAGGCATCTTTATCTTTGCAGCTGAATTGGTTACCATTTAAAAAAACATTCCTTTTACCTGAGAACAGTTTCTTTCGCAAGCTGCAAAACCCATAAAAGAGACAACTTCAGAGCCTTGGAGCGGCATCTGTCCACTGATGTGTATCTGCTTTCATGTCGGGATGCCCTTTAAAGCATAGCCCAATTTGAATTATTGGAATGACCAGTGATGACACTTTACCTTCCCTCTTACCTCAAGAGGCCTTCACTTCTTGACTCGAGTGTTTGATGCTTCCACAGCTCAGTGTTTCAATAGATTCTCCACAGAAAGTTCAAAATGCACAACAAAAAAAACTGCACAAAACACTTCAAGCCTGTCAAGGAATAAAATCTTGCATCATTTGTTTTCTGACGCAAAAACGGAATTAACATCTGAAAGGGTGGAATGCTACACTGAACTGCTAAATGTTGCGGTCATTCAGAGATAATTCCAAACAGGCACGGGGAAGGAAGATAAAAATAACAATGGACCAAAATGGCCCCAACTCTTTGATGAGGTAGCGGTAACCCATTACCATAACAGTAGGAAATGTTCAGTGGAGCTTGGACTGGCATGCTATTATGAGCTTCATTTCTGACACAAGCTGCCACCTCGACGAGGAGAGAACTGTGGCTCATTAAAACTCCTCAGCCTTTGAGATTCCGCCAGTTTCGATACGTAAAACTGTGACGGGGAGCCGGTGAATAGAAGCGATGGTCTTCAGAACTCTAGATGGAGGCTCTGCCAATCTCGTTTGATGAATCTGTCAAGGAGAATAGTGGTTTGACGCTAGGCGGCTATGCCACAGAGTAAGCTCAATTCATCTACATGATGTTGTTCAATACAAATATTCGAGCACAACCCATTCAAGCATCTTCACAAACCATGCAGCTAAAAACTGTCTTTTTTTTTTGGCCATAATACATTTGAAATATATGCTAAATGTGTTACAAAAAACAATTTTGCAATTTGGAAAAATAAAATAAAATAAATCTGAAAATATATTTTTGAGTAAATCTAAAATGTATTTTTAATACTTTAATTAATTTGTTTTATATATATATATATATATATATATATATATATATATATATATATATAGTATATACACTATTTATTTTTTTATCTGTGATGTGCCAAGCCAAACTGAACAGAGCTGAAAACCGTGGTTAAAAAAAAACAAGATATATATTGGACCATAGGCTAACTATGTTGTTGCATTTTATATTGCATCCCTAATATACCAAAGAGAACAAAACAACTGTTTGAATATACTCATCTACAATTGTGAGCCCCATTAATGAGACTGAATCAATGATGCTCCAGTATAACCCTCAAAAATGAATCACCTTGCATTTAATTTAAGCTTTAACCGGATGCTCAACAGCTGTTCAAGCCGCTTCAGTCTCATTATCTTTCCAACTGTTCGCTGTCACGCAACGCATCCTCACCTTGACAACCCATACCGTGGCATAATAGAAAAGACAACCTAACAATTTCCAAACTCAAGAAAGTCTGCTGAGCCACTGAGATCATTACTGTCAATTAAAACCGAGCTAAGAGAAAAGAACTACGTCAACAGCATAGAATGATCCACCTAATTTGCACCAAAAACGTTATTAGGCCATGTACGTAAAGTGACATTTTCATGTTGAGGTCAATGTATGCAGTAATGTGACATTCTCCTAGTTGGATTTCATAGGAAATCTTGTTATAAGTCACTCTAAGGCAGTGAAAATCCTTCAAGATTAGATATGATTCATATAATGCTTCTCTGACACTTGTGAAAGGATAAAAACTCACGCATGCTAAACCTTGCGTCTAACACAAACACATGCAACCGTTGTGCACTCCTGTTTTTGAGCTTTCCAACCCAAGACAGCCAGTGAACTGTTTAATTCTCACCTTGACATATACTACATGGTATTTTGATCTAAATGTCAGCTGCTTCAGTTTTGATCAGAAAACCGTGATTAACATTAATATCACCTGACACCTATTACATAAATGTCTAGAGAATGTCATTCGGCAGCAAGATTCACCCATGTAACACCAGTGAATGTCAGTGCGAGAGCCAAACTATTTGTTCTGCCTCACTTTTCATTCATATTGATCTGCGTATCCACTGAAAAAGCACATCAAATGGGGTTCGCGGAGACCACGCTTGAGGCTCTGGTTTGTGCCGATGTGCGGCCGGCCAGCTGAATTCGAGGAGGGAGGGGATAATGATGCTCGAAGGTGCCGCGCATTTACAAATTCCACAAGGCACTCCATCCAGGAAACACATCCTCTGCCAAAAGACCTTTACCATGGCAACTCTGAGCCAGTCGGACTGTGTGTAGCCAGGCTAGCAGAGAAATCAATGGGAAAGGACAACAGGGCCTTCATTAAGCTCTGCCTGACCTTCACTTTTCCAGTGAGGTCATTTTTATTTTCGAAACAACAGCGGGGGCATGTCAACAAATTATCAAAGGGAACGCAGTCAGATTTTTAACAGCCACCGCCAGAGAAGCCGACTGCTTGGTATAATCTACCTTGCAAACAATGAATTATTCATGAGCATGAGTTTAAATGTACAGTCCTCAAAAGATATTCTTCCTTTCATGATGTTGCTCGATGCAAGACAAATAAAGGCATAATCTAAATCTCTATTCACATCAGATAGATTTAAACTCACAATGCATCATAGGCGACTACGTGCTTGTATGCCATTTTAGGGTTATGTATACAGTGCAATTGTAAAAGCATATGCGTCAAAAGCTATACTGCGAGGGTTCTCAACCTTTTAAATATGT